GAATGTTAACAAGGAAACAAGAATCACATGATAGGATATGAACTGAATGTTAACAAGGAAACAGGAGTCACGTGATAGGATGTGTACTAAATGTTAACAAGGAAGCAGGAGTCACATGATAAAATGTGTACTAAATGTTAACAAGAAAGCAAGAGTCACATGATTGGGTTTTTACTGAATGTTTACAAGGAAGCAAAAGTCACATGATAGGATGGGAACTGAATGTAACAAGGAAGCAAAAATTCAGTCACATGATAGGATGTGTACTGAATGTTAACATGGAAGCAGGATTCATATGATGGACTATATACCAAATGCTTACAAGGAAGCAGGAGTTGCAAGATAAGATGTGTACTAATGTTAACAAGGGAATAGGAGTCACATGATAGGATGTGTTCTGAATGTGACAAGGAAACAGGAGTCACATGATAGGATGTGTTCTGAATGTAACAAGGAAACAGGAGTCACATGATAGGATGTGTACTAAATGTTAACAAGAAAGCAGGAGTCACATGATTTTGAGTGTGTACTGAATTTTTACAAGGCAGCAGTTGTCACATGATAGAATAGGTACTGAATGTTTACAAGGAAGCAGGAGTCACATGATTGGGTGTTTACTGAATGTTTACAAGGAAGCAGGTGTTGCATGATAGGATGTGTACTGAATGTTAACAAGGGAATAGGAGTCACATTATAGGATGTGTACTGAATGTTAACAAGGAAGCAGGTGTCACATGATAGGTTGTGTACTGAATGTTAACAAGGAAGCAGGTGTCACATGATACAATGTGTACTGAATGTTAACAAGGAAGCAGGAGTCACATGATAGGATGTGTACTGAATGTAACAAGGAAACAGGAGTCACATGATAGGATGTGTACTAAATGTTAACAAGGAAGCAGGAGTCACATGATAGGTTGTGTACTGAATGTTAACAAGGAAGCAGGTGTCACATGATACAATGTGTACTGAATGTTAACAAGGAAGTAGGAGTCACATGATATGATGTGTACTGAATGTAACACCGAAACAGGAGTCACATGATAGGATGTGTACTAAATGTTAACAAGGAAGCAGGAGTCACATGATAGGTTGTGTACTGAATGTTAACAAGGAAGCAGGTGTCACATGATACAATGTGTACTGAATGTTAACAAGGAAGCAGGAGTCACATGATAGGATGTGTACTGAATGTTGACATGGAATCAGGAGTCACATGATGGAATTGATACTAAAGGTTTACAAGGGTGCTTCAGTCACATGAATTAATGGATATTGATGTTCACAAGGGTGTTCCAGTAGTATGATGGAATGGTTACTGAAGTTTGACAAGGGAGTTTCAGTCAAATGATGGAATAGGAACTGAAGGGTTTGAAGGAGTTCTAATGATAAAGTAATTTGGATATCATCATGATAAATAAACCTGAATGAAATGGTGATGAGAGAAAGATGAAATCCTCGTGTGTGAAGGATTTGGACACAGTGTGTGAGATACAGTAGCAGATAATTATGCTGCCATAAGATTCATGAAAGCATGGGGTTATATCAAAGTCAGCATATAGGTCATAAACAAGTACCAAAAATGGTAAGGATGATTGGTAAATATGAAGGAGCATGAATGATCATGTTGGTAGAGTCAAGGTGCAGGAACAGAAGGGATGTTCTCAGGGAATATAAAAGGATTGAACAGATCAATGACTCCAGTCTGACTAGGATCAAATGATTCCTTGATTTTGGTATTTTGAAGAATGTGCTATTATGACTCCAACATGGTCAAATTTGACCTGCAACCTTGGGACCTGGCGTTTTATTTAAAAGGACCTCTGACCTTTAAATTAAAAACAAATGTGTTATGTGGATTTCTGTTGCTTTCAAATTTGCTTAAAAGTGACCTGGCTGATCATGACCTGAGGCAATTTTTAAACATGACCTTGAGACATAAGGGGGTACCTTACTGGAACCCCCTATTCTACCTATTAGTATTTTATTTGACCCTGCTATATGCAGAGCACAAGTCACTTGACATCACTTCTGTGGCATTGATGCTATTAATTTACCAAGGGACACATCTGTTGATGATTCCTTAAGGATGTCAAGATTGTGACACAGGCATTATATGTGATAGACTGTAAGACATATAAATCTATAAATGATAACTATTCCTTGAGAAATAAGTTTAATGCTTCTTTTCTAATCATTAAAGCAATGAGTTTTCAAATGTTAAATGCTCTCTGTAGTATTTTATGGTTTTGATTTCTATGTTTTTATTTCTTTTAGAGAACTAGCCTTGTCTTACTGTATTTGATTGAACACCCAATTTTTGGTACAAATAGGGTAAATCTAATTTGGTTTCCATAAAAAAATTGTAGCATTTGAAGTATGATGAAGTGAATAAAAGGAGGATTTTGACTATAGATCTTGTCTCTATTTGGATATGTGTTATACCTTGGCCAGATTTATAGTGTAAAGTAAAATAAAAACAAAAATACTGAACTCCAAGGAAAATTCAAATTGGAAAGTCCCTTATCAAATGGCAAAATCAAAAGCTCAAACCCATCAAACGAATGGAAAACAACTGTCATATTCCTGACTTGGTACAGACATTTCCTTATGTAGAAAATGGTGGACTAAACCTGGTTTTAAAGCTAGCTAAACCTCTCACTTGTATGACAGTCGCATAAAATTCAAGTGTGTCACTTGATCACATTGTATCAATTTTGACTTTTTAGCATCAGTCATTTTCACTTATGGTGTCAACATTTTATTTATTATTGTTTCACTACTTAGTAAGACTGATGAGTGTGTCAAATTGTTTCATGTATTTTTGTATTCCCCCGCCGTAGTGGAGGGGGCATTAAGTTTTACCCTCGTCCGTACGTACGTACAGACGGACAAGGGTAAAACTAATGCCCCCTCCACTACGTCCCAAAGTTGGTTTCCGTTCTCTAACTTTAGTTTGCCTCAACCAAATGTTATGAAACTTATATACACAATGCTAATTAACACAAAACACAGATCAAGTTTGAATTTTGGTGGCGTCACTTAAACCGTTCTAGAGTTATGCCCCTTTACAAATGGAAAAATTGCTGAATTCTTGTTTCCGTTCTTTTAGTTTGCCTCAACCAAATGTTATGAAACTTATACACAATACTTATTACCACAAAAGTCAGATCAAGTACAAATTTTGGGTAGCGTCACTTTTACCCGTTTTCAGTTATGTCCCTTTATAACTTCATATGATATGCAAGCGGGGGCATCATCTGTGTCCCATGGACACATTCCCCATTTATTTTTAAATTAGATATATTTAAAGGATATTGTTTATGTTGTTTTTGCAAAATTGAAAAACAGACCAAAGCACAAAAACTTAACATTGACCAATGAACCATGAAAATTAGGTCAAGGTCAGATGAAACCTTCCAGACTGACATGTATCCCTTACAATCATTCCATACACCACATATAGTGATTTTGCTATGCTTTGATTAGGTCTGAGTTAGCAAGGTGAGGTCAGATATAATGATAATTGATTTATCTTTTGTATTTTTGCTATGCTTTGCCAGCTTGCAAGAAGTTGACTTGATAAGCATGATCAGTTGATTATGTCAAAGTTATCAATGTGAGGTCAGGTATTATGGTATTGGTAAATAAATCTAGATAAGCATTGTAGATTAGTCAGGTAAAGTTGGATATAAGTTGGAATCAGCAATATTAGCTGTCAGCTAATAGAATCATATGCAAAACAGTGTAGATGAGATCATTGATTGGCGCGCTAAAATATCCCATTGACTGGGTCAGATTAGGTGAACGTTCGTCTGTAAACGCCCACAACTCACGACGTATTTATTATAAACATTTAAACTGTGGGGTTGCCAAAGGGTCTCAGTATATATACGAACAACAGTGCCAAGTATATTATATACATATTTTATTTGCGATCATAAAATGTACAAAGTCGTCCATTACTATGTAAATTGGGTCGATTAAAAAAAAAGCTGAATATGTTTCTGTTGCCAAGGGTTTTTCACAAGTATAGTAGTTACCAAACTATACATTTTACCTATTCAAAAACATAAAGGCTTGATCCAAATAGCCTTTTTACTGTCTAATAACTTGCAAGTACGAAAAAGACAGGAAAGAAGTATATTTTGTCTATATGTTTTGTGTTTACACACTTTTTAAAGTTGATCATGCATGCGTTCTAAAATAAAATTTTGACCAGATAAAAGTTAAAAGATGACATAATTGGACAACCGCAATTGTTAAATCTCTTTGACGTCCGAAAAAAAGATAATAATCAACACATCCATTTTAACTTTTAAAGCCAGTTAAATCCTTTTTTGCTGAAAGAACGTGCGATATCATAAAAATTGATTATCAAAACATAACAAAAACACAAGTAAAGAACGTTTAAGTATTCAATATAAATCAAAACACAAAGGTTATTCCTGATTAGTTTTTCGAATTATTTTATTTAGGCACTTGAGACCCTTTGGCAACCCCACAGTTTTAATGTTTATAATAAATACGTCGTGAGTTGTGGGCGTTACAGACGAACGTTCACCTAATCTGACCCAGTCAATGGGATATTTTAGCGTGCCAATCAATGGTCTCGTCTACACTGTTTTGCACATGATTCTATATATATATTAGCTATAAGATTTTTGTTTAGAGCAGAGTAGGGTTACACTAGAAGTCTTTTGCATTTTTTTTAGGGTTGTTAGTGTGCTGTATCATTTATGTATACCTAACAGCTTCTCATACTTATATTAATTAAAAGTAATCTGTAATTTCAGTTTGTCTAGCAGTGTTAAGGTAGTTTAATGAAGAATGGGACAAAGAAGAAGTTTTGATAAACAATAATATCTTTTCTTCTTTCAGGTTTTGCTGGGAAGGTGTAACAATGATTAGTTGATATTTCTGAGGTAGTCAGTGCTGTATGAGTGTTTGGATAAAGTTATGTCATATTTAGCAATAATAGTTGATATTTCTATTTTCAGTTTGTGCTGTAAGAGTGCTAGGAGAAAGTGATATTATGCAGGAATTTTTAGCATCTCCAGAAGTTGACTCTGTAAGTTTTGTTGGTAAATTGTACTAATGGAATATATTTGAATTTATGAAAGAAAGCGTTTGAAAATTACATGGTTAGTACCTTTTATGATAAAATTATGCCTTGGAAAGGTTTATCCTGGTCTTAAACCAAAAATGTTTTATCATTGAAAAGACATTTCAAGGCATTTTTAGTCAAAGATTTAAGATTTCAATGTAATATTCTACATTATTTATAGTCCACATGATGGGAAAACATATGCTGCAGCCATACTAAAGCAATTTTTGTTCTTTAAATTTTCAAAATTTGGTTTTGGAAAGATAAAGTTAAAAGAAATAATTTTCATAACAAAAATGCTGGAAACTCACCCTTGTCTCTTATCGAGGATTAAGATAGACTGACTACATTTTATGTCTGTCTATATTTAGATAAAAATTGCATTACTGATAATTGAGCAAAAAATATAGACAGAAGACACCAATGGGACAAAAATCAGATGTCAAAGAATGTGAGAGAAAATTAAAAGTGCCGAACCTTATGAATGTACAAATCATTAACATTGCTTATGTTTGTACTTAAAAGAAAATCAACAATGCCTTAAGAATGTACAAGGACATTAACAGTTTCCTGTTAAAGAGAAAATTTATTAACACCCTTTCAGAATGTAGGGGAAAATCATTAGTATTTCCTGGAATTCCTTGAACATGGATGTACACAAAATGTATATATGATACATATTAATTTCAGAATCTCTCCCTAGAACAACAAGAAGTATGTATCTATACAAACCTGGCTCCTTTATTGTATAAACTGCTTATTTCCTACAAATAAAATCTCCAGTTTTTTCCTTGTAAAAATTTTCTTTACAGATTGTAAATGAAACATAGTTTTTAAGTATCTTAAAATAATTTAGCCCTCAATAGCTAAATGCTAAAAAAAAAACAAATTGAGGAATAACTTTGAAAATAGTTATCACCTGATAGCAGCATGATATTGTCACATTTTATGTTTTATGTGTTACTTAGTTAACACATAGCATAATCAGTCACAAATTATAATGTTTTTGTTTTATAGATTTGGCACATTATTGTACACATTTAGTATATTCTTTGTAATCAAGTTTATAAGTATGATGATTTAGATATTTGTTTTCTAAGCATGCTCATTGTAATTTCAGACAAGGGATAAGCTACAACCATTATTTCTCAAATACAAACCAAACTCATGGAGCTAACAGCATCATTTTACCTTAACCAAAGCCACTATCTGCCAACAATATTAAAAATGTTAAAATCACATATTGTATCTTTCATTTTTGTGTGTGAAATCACACTATAATAACATGTCAATATTCAGTGACAGTATTATGTAAAAAAGATTTTTTCTGAATGATGGTTGAAATCAATGTTATTTCTTTAAGATCTCAGGGACACAATTAAGTTGGCATGTTTAGAAAAATCACCCCCTCTCTAATCCACCAACAGTCTATTGCCTTCACTTTATATCTAGGAACACAAAATCTAAAACTTATGTAATTTTTTAACACCTAACCAATACCTTATGACATTACCATATAAGCCTGCTATGCAAACCGACCCACCCATGCAGTCTCATGACCTTTTATGGGCTTGGATTTTGTTCTGAATGATGTTGTTATAATGTTTTCAGTATTTTATGAGTGCTGTTGATTCTTAAAAACCTTAGCTTCAGTATATTTTATATGGATACTCTCTACTCTGTGTTGCCTATTTGGTATAGTGTGATTAGAAATTTTGTTTAAATCTGTCTTAAATGCAGCATTCACCATTATATATTTTGCTTTGTATATCTACATATATTTAATTCTTAACTAGATCTTTCCTACCCTTAAAAGGAAACTTAAAACTATGACAATGAACATCAGTTTAAACTGATGGAGTCATTACATGCTGCGCCCCAGCATTCCTGGTATTTTTTAATTATCAGGAAATATTTTGATATGTTATGCAAATGAATAATTGTTGATAAGAAAATCTTTATGATTTTACAGGATAGTTCAAATTCTGGTGTAGAATTAAAAGTACTGTTACCAGACAGAAGAGTTTCTACAGTGACAATACGACGGAATGATACAGCTGATCAAGTATATGAGGTAATTTTAACATAATAATGCTCCGCCTATGACTGTAGATGGGCATTATGTTTTCCAGTTTGTGTGTCTGTCCATCCTGTATCTAGTTAAATTTTTTTTTTAAGGTAGATTAAAGTTTTGATTTTTGGGTAGTTTGTTGTTACATTAACTTGAAACTTAGTACATCTGTTCCTTATAAAGCTAACTGTTTAATATGTATGCCAAATTAGGGTTTTGACCTAGAATTCGTGGTTCAAGAAACATGAACTTTTCTTCATTTGATTGAACTTGATTTTGTCCTTTGTTTGACTTGTCTCCATGGCCAGTTGATTGTGCTTGAGTGTGTCATTTAATTGACTGGTCTCCATTTGACTGTCTTTGATTGTGTCAGTTGTTTGACATTTATTCATTTGTTTGTATTTAATTTTGTCATTTGTGCCCATTTGGAACTATGTTGATAAAAAGTTCCAGCTGATTTTCAGTAATAGCATTTGACTCATAAAATTTTACGGCTGTTTTAAGGCAAAATACTGACGTACAAATGAGGATACATTACCAGATTGTGAAAAAGGGAGTCTTCAGTTTTTTATTGTGTTGGGAAAATATTTTTGTGAGATTGGTAACAAGCTTAGGCATACATACAGAAGATGCTTAAGCATAGTTTTCCAGTTTCTCATCACCATCCTTTGAATTACTATTTTGGTCTCTTTTCCAAGATATGTGATCTTGCTGCTTGGAAAGTACAGCTGTTTTTTGCTATCATCACTATGACTCTTCATTGAAGAGAAAACGATCTTTTTGTAAATTTTGCAAAGAAAGGAAAAAAGTACTCTGTTGAAATATACACAAATATGCATATTGAAAAATGTTTACACGACTTAAAAACATGATCCCTGTAAATATTTAGCTGATATTCAGTATATAGATGTGGAATAAACAGTTACAGATTACAGGTTGTGCCTGGAAGCTCAAAGCAATAAAAATTTACTTTTTTACTACTATAATCAGGAAGAGTTTATTTGTTTTATTATTCATCAGGAAGAGTATTCAAGTACTTTATTTTTAATTAATCTTTTTTTTTAAATATATAGATAAAATGATTTGACTTCATGCAGATAAAATCAAGAAGGGATGGATTAAAAAGATATTTATTTTTAGCTCACCTGGCTGGAAGGGCCAAGTGAGCTTTTCTCATCACTTGGCGTCCTTCGTCCGTCGTCCGTCGTCGTCTACGTCGTGGTCGTCCGTCGTCGTTAGCTTTTTACAAAAATCTTCTCCTCTGAAACCACTGGGCCAAATTTAACCAAACTTGGCCACAATCATCATTAGGGTATCTAGTTTAAAAAATGTGTCCTATGACCCCGCCAACCAACCAAGATGGCCGCCATGGCTAAAAATAGAACATAGGGGTAAAATGTAGATTTTGGCTTATATCTCTGAAACTAAAGCATTTAGAGTAAATCTGACAAAGGGGAAAACTGATTATCAGGTCAAGATCTATCTGCCCTGAAATTTTCTGACAAATCTGACAACCTGTTGTTGGGTTGCTACCCCTGAATTGGTAATTTTAAGGAAATTTTACAGTTTTTGGTTATTATCTTGAATATTATTATAGATAGAGATAAACTGTAAACAGCAATAATGTTCAGCAAAGTAAGATCTACAAATAAGTAATCATGACCAAAATTGTCAGTCGACCCCTTTAGGAGTTATTGTCCTTAATAGTCAATTTTTAACAATTTTTTCGTAAATTTTTGTAATCTTTTACAAAAATCTTCTTCTCTGAAACTACTGAGACAAATTTAACCATACTTGGCCATAATCATTATTAGGGTATCTAGTTTAAAAAATTGGTCTGATGACCCCGCCTTCCAACCATCATGGCCAACTTGGTTGAAAATAGAACATAGGGGTAAAATGCAGTTTTTGGTTTATATCTCTGAAAATAAAGCATTTAGACTAAATCTGACAGGTGGCAAAAAATGTTCATCAGATTTAGATTTATCTGCCCTGAAATTTTCAGACGAATCCAACAACCTGTTGTTGGGTTGCTGCCCCTGAGTTAGTAATTTTACAAAAATTTTGCAGTTTTTTGTTATTATCTTAGATATTATTATAATATCTAATATCTAATACTATTAATTATGATTTTAACCTTATTTTACATGATTTCCAAAGCATTAGTAAATACAGGTGAGCGACACAGGCTCTTGAGAGCCTCTAGTTTGTTTATTTTAAGATAAATTGGATCTCTTTTTAACAAAACGGTGACCTAGATTTTACAGACCAGATTTCTTATGGCCGTATTATACCTCCTTGTGTTCCTGTACCACCTATGCATGCATTTATGATAAAAGTTAATACCTACAGCCTATACCAGTAACGTAGTGGCCATCAAAAGACTCCCACCCTCACCTGATTTTGGCTACTTTTCACTTTATTCCGATTTTGAACTCTAAAAAGGCCATTAAAGTTGCCATATTTTCATAAACACACATCTGATAAGAGTTTATGGACCATGAATTGCATGGTTGAAGTCCCTGCTGTCAAGACAGTTGAGCTGGGGCAGTTCTAAAAAAGTATGGAGGGTCATACGGGCCATCTAAGAATGATGGTCACCATCACCACTACAGGCGGGATTGGGGGCAAAGGGGTTAAATATCATTGGAGTTCACCTTTAATTTCTGGTGGAGTTCTTATTGCTCATTGAGTTTTCTGTGTATTGTTTCCTGACTATTTTTTGTCTGTTTATCTTTTTTCTTTTGGCCATGGTGTTTTAAATTTTGAATTCCTGCTTTGTATCTTTTCAAGATAATTATAATTTTGTACATACCGGTACATTGTATCTTCAGGCTTTTTAGTAAATGGTTTTACTTGTAAGATAGGAAAGTACTTGTTTGTTATGTAGTGTTTAATCCTAATTAGTTAACCATGAATATAAAAACTAGAGGCTCTAAAGAGCCTGTGTCGCTCACCTTGGTCTATGTGCATATTCAACAAAGGATACTCTCCAACATTGTAGCCGAGAATAAAATTTATGACAAAAATCTCTGTTTTGTTGATCTTGTATTGCTGATCATTTAGTCTGTTTAGTATCTCTCTATAATCTTCTTTAGTTTTTGTTTAAAACACAAAAGAGAGTAAAAAAATCCTCATTTAAGGGCAATCACTCCTATAAAGAGTGACAGTCTACTAACTATATCAGCAACATTTATCATGCTAGCTTATATAGTAGATCTTGCCTTGCTGATCATTTTTCTAATTTAAAATGTCTATTTATCTATTACAATTTTATTGCAAAACGCCAAACAAAAATTGTAAAAATCGTCATTAAAGGGCAATAACTCTAATAAGGAGTCGTCTGACAATTTATATAATTGTAGATCTTGTCTTGCTGATCATTTTAGCTTATTTAAATTTCTATCTATCTATTATAATATGTAGGATATAAGGCAAAAACGCAAAAAATTGGTAAAAATCGTCATCAAAGGGCGATCACTCTAATAAGGAGTGGACTGACAATTTCGACCATGTGGACTTATTTGTAGAACTTGTCTTGCTGATCATTTTTGCAATCTAAAGTTTCTTTCTATCTATCATAGTTTTCAAGTTAATAGGCAAAAATGAAAAAAAAAGTAAAATTTGTCATTAAAGGGCATTAACTCCTATAAGAAGTTGTCTGACAGTTTTGATGTATATGGACAATTGGTAGAGCTCAACATTCTGAACATTTTTTCTTCGTGTTAGATTTTTCTCTATTTATAATGGTTATCAAAATAATCGACAAAATTTGCATTTTCCCCTATGTTCTATTTTTAGCCATGTTGGCCATCTTGGTAGGCAAGCAGGGTCATCGGACACATTTTTTAAACTAGATACCCCAATAATGATTGTGGCCAAGTTTGGTTAAATTTGGCCCAGTAGTTTCAGAGGAGAAGATTTTTGTAAAAGTTAACGACGACGGACGTGAGCTAATAAGGAGGTGTGGTATAATGCCAAGGAGACAGCTGCCCATTGAAAAAAACAAAGGACAAGGATCTAAACAATTACCGGTCACCAAGCTGTCCATTTAACACCAAAGGACAAAGTTGTAAACAATTACAGGTCATCATAAGTCCATAAGAACTAATACTCTTAATACCCTAGAAACAAATGTTTTAATATATATCTGATAGCTCTGTAAAACCACAAAATAAATATATATTAATTAAGTGTGACAACCAAATTGCAAAAATTGATATCTTTGCAGTCAATCATTTTATACATTTTTATTTTCAGGCTGTGGTTGTGAAGTTGAATATGTCAGATAAGGCGGCTTGTTGTTTTTATTTATTTGAAACTGTAGAATATAATTTTGGTAAGTTTTGCTTGATAATGGAAATCACTTCTTGGAATAATTTATTATATTTTCTTCAATAAGAAAAGTATAACATTTTCTCTGCATGATCATCTAAGTAGATAAACTTAGGTTTCATCTAAACAGAAACAATTCATATAAAGTTCCAGTCTCACTTTACAATACAAATGTAGTGGTTAAATTATGGCATGTGAAAAAAGGAGATGTGAGACATACATCATTATGACAGCAACCCAACAACAAAAAACCAAAGACACCTAGAGATCAACATAGTGTTAAACAGAGGGTCAATACAATATATTAAGCTCTAGATAGCCCCATATCTTAAAATTTGAATAGATTTATGCCAGCCTGGAACTTAGAGCATTTATCAACAGACAAGTCTTCTCTGTGAAAATAATTATCTAGACATGTTCTTTTGGTTTGTTTTTTGTTTGATGTTATTGATGTTAAATATTGTCTTGTTAATGTTTAAATGGCATCTTCTGTTATTGAAATGATGAGTATATCATAATAGTTTACAAATCAGCATTCAGGACAGGTTTGTATGATTTTTATACCCTGATAGTAACAATTTTTTCCTGCAGTGTAGATATTAGAAATCAATGATAAGTGCAGACTTGAGACTGATTGAACGTTTGTTCATTGTAATTGAGTGATTGAAAATATTCTTGTGAAGCTTTAGAAAAACATTATGTAATTTATTTTATAGTGTTATATAATGTTTATTGGGTTTCAAGTTATTTTTAGAAGCAGTGAAATAAAATGCTTCTAATATTAATGGCAATGCTTCTAATATTAATGGCATCAGATATATGAAAATGTCAAAAAGTTATCAGTTAAAAAATATGGTGGATTTCAGTTGTAATAGATTCAAATATAGCTGCAAAGCCTATAAACAATTTGAAATACATTGTAAGGGAATTATGAATAATAGATGTTTATAAAAGAGACACGAACCTAACAATATAAACAAAAACCAATATATTATTAATAATCATACATACAGATATTAAAAGTTGTTGTTTACCTATAAATTGTCTGTCTTAGCTACAAATAGAAATGCAGTCATGTCAAGATTTTATTCCTGTTTCATACTAAATGTGAAGTCAAAATAAATGCTTGTATGCAATATTAAATAAAATGCAGGAAAATGGTCATAAGCTTTAAGGTGGGTGGATAGACACTAAGAATCAGAGCATAGTAGATAACACATTTAGACCATGATATTCTGAAATAAACACATTTAGACCATGATATTCTGAAAAAAAACACATTAAGACCATGATATTCTGAAATAAACACATTTAGACCATGATATATATAAATAAACACATTAAGACCATGATATATATAAATAAACACATTAAGACCATGATATATATAAATAAACACATTAAGACCATGATATATATATAAATAAACACATTAAGACCATGATATATATAAATAAACACATTTAGACCATGATATTCTGAAATAAACACATTTAGACCATGATATATATAAATAAACACATTTAGACCATGATATATATAAATAAACACATTAAGACCATGATATATATAAATAAACACATTTAGACCATGATTTTCTGAAATTATCACATTTAGACCATGATATATATAAATAAAACATTAACTTTAACTTATTTTCTTTTACAGACAGAAAATTGCAACCAACAGAATTTCCTCATAATATTTATATACAGAACTATAGCACTGCCACAGCAACATGTATAACATTACGAAAATGGGTTTTCACATTAACACAAGAGTCCTTTCTTAATTCAGACGATCTGGCAATCAACTTTTTATATTGGGAGGTAAGGATCCGGAGCTATGTGTAAAATAGGTGTTAACATTAACACAAGAGTCCTTTCTTAGTTCAGATGATCTGGTAATCAACTTTTTATATTGGGAGGTAAGGAGCTATGTGTAAAATAGGTGTTAACATTAACACACGATTCCTTTCTTAGTTCTGATGATCTGGCTATCAACTTTTTATATTGGGAGGTAAGGAGTTATGTGTAAAATAGATGTTAACATTAACACACAATTCCCTTCTTAGTTCAGATGATCTGGTAATCAACATTTTATATTGGGAGGTAAGGAGCTATGTGTAAAATAGGTGTTAACATTAACACACGATTCCCTTCTTAGTTCTGATGATCTGGCTATCAACTTTTTATATTTGGAGGTAAGGAGCTATGTGTAAAATAGATGTTAACATTAACACACAATTCCCTTCTTAGTTCAGATGATCTGGTAATCAACATTTTATATTGGGAGGTAAGGAGCTATGTGTAAAAATAGGTGTTTACATTAACACGATTCCTTTCTTAATTCAGATGATAACTTTTTATATTTGGAGGTAAGGAGCTATGTGTAAAATAGGTGTTTATATTAACACAAGATTCCTTTCTTAGTTCTGATGGTCTGGCATAAGGAATGCAGCTTGAAATGAGAGTTCACAGGACTGTTTCTTTAATCTATGATATCTCGAGCAATTATCTATACATTGAAGTGGGGTATATATAGAGAAAACAGTTAAGATTAAAAAGGTTTTATGAACAAACTTTTATTTGAATTTAATATTTGATGCTTGTGTCTTATGAAACTTGTGTTAGCAAATGGATAGACAATGCATCCAATTCTTTTCTCAGATTAATAGGCCAACAGCAAGAAATTTCACTTTTTTGTGATCAAATATTTAAGTTTATGATTTCTCTGACCACCAATAACCCTATTCATGAAATTTTATTAAGAACACTGGTTCTAGTAATCAATCATTGCCTTTATTATTCAAGTTTAAAGTTTTACTAAATACTGCATACTATTTATTATTGTTCAAGGATCTATTTTAACTAAACATAGTTAAATTGATGAGTCAAATTATAAAGATTTTTTTTACATTCATAAATAATTGAAATGATGGTTAGTTAAAGAACAAATTAAAGCTAAAACAATAAAACTTATCATAAAAAATAGATGAACAAATAGAAAATTGACGGAATGTTTATATTTTAAAGGTGGGATACAAGATGCTGACATGTTCTCATTCTGAACATTTATATTTTCTGTTGTGTATTCCAGGATAGTTTATTTTAGTTTAAGATATGCTGTTATTTTCTATCAATGGAAGATATAGGAAAGGAGAAGAAGTCTTTGGATTTTAGGGTCAGCGAGTCAAAGTTTAAGGTTGCTGTTTCTAAAAATAAAAATGTATAAAGGAAATGGGAAGAACCTTACCAATTTTTAGGTCAAAGGTCACCAGTGCTAGAAATAAACAGTAAATATAGACATATGATGTGCAATGTATTGTTTCTGGATGATTCCTTGATGAAATATAGATTGAAATTTCACCAGAACCTTGATTTCTACATGAAATATCTTGAAGTAGAACAGTTGTTTATTTGGTTTATGCCTCCAGACCTGGCAGTTTAGCGTGAATCAAGGAAACCAACTGTGCAAATTTTCTAAACTGTATTTTCTATTAGGTTTCTCCTGTATATAAGGGGCTCTAGAGAAATTATTTTAATAATTTTGGTTTCTAGATTATTAGAACTTTTTATACCCGCCGTAGCGAAAGGGGGCATTAAGTTTTACCCTTGTCCGTCTGTACGTCCATCTGAATTGTTTTCCGTTCTCTAACTTTAATTTGCTCAACCAAATGTTATGAAACTTATACAGAATGCTTATTACCACAAAACACAGATCAGGTTTGAATTTGGTGGCATCACTTGTACCCTTCTAGAGTTACGCCCCTTTACAAATGGAAAATTTCTGAATTTTTCGTTTCCGTTCTCTTATTTAAGTTTGCCTCAACCAAATGTTATGAAACTTATACACAATGCTTATTACCACAAAACACAGATCAAGTTTGAATTTTGGTGGCATCACTTTTTCCGTTCTAGAGTTACCCCTTTACAAATGGAAAAATTGCTGAATTTTTTGTTTCTGTTCTCTAACTTAAGTTTGCCTCAACTAAATGTTATGAAACTTATACACAATTCTTGTTACCACAAAAATCAGATCAAGTATGAATTTGGGTAGTGTCACTTTTACCGTTCTTTAGTTATGTAGATATAGGAAGATGTGGTATGAGTGCCAATGAGACAACTCTCCATCCAAGTTACAATTTATAAAAGTAAACCATTATAGGTCAAGGTACGGCCTTCAACACGGAGCATTGGCTCACACCGAACAGCAAGCTATAAATGGCCCCAAAAAATTACTAGTGTAAAACCATTCAAACAGAAAACCAACTGTCTAATCTATATGAAAACGAGAAACGAGAAACACGTATGAACTACATAAACAGAAGACAACTACTGTAATCAGATTCCTGACTTAGGACAGGTGCAAACATTTGCAGTGGGATTAAACGTTTTAATGGTACCAAACCTTCTCCCTTTTCTGAAACAATAGTATAACATCACAACATAGAAAAACACACTATAAAATATCAATGGAAAGGCTTAACTCAATCAAAAAATGTAAATTAACCCACAATGAACGAATAAATTTGACCTGTGACACCTGAATGCAAATACACAGTTAATAAAAAATGACAAGGGATAAATAATTAAAGTCAAAAGTAAATAAACAGGTTTAAACAAAGTTAATGTATGATATCACTGTGAAATTTCAAACAATTTTTAGAAAATCATCACTTTTGAAGAAACCTGCGTCATATTATACACAGGTAAATGAAAATAATTTTGTTGTTAAGTATACTTCTTCTTCTGTGTGTATAAAATTTTCCATTTAGGAATACCAAGAAATTTCTTTAATATCAATAAAACTAATCTAACACTTGGTACATATGGCCTATATCTTCCATTGATAGAAAATAACAATATATCTTAAACTAAAATAAACTATCCTGGAATACACAACAGAAAATATAAATGTTCAGAATGAGAACATGTCAGCATCTTGTATCCCACCTTTAAAATATAAACATGGGGTCAATTTTCTATTTGTTCATCTATTTTTTATGATAAGTTTTATAACGTTATATGCAAGCAGGGGCATCATCTGTGTCCCATGGACACATTCCCCATTTATTTATTTTATTTTGCATCAATATCATTGGGTATGTTGTGAACCATCCATCAGTTTTCAGTTTTGGGGAGCATAGGTTGTCTGTGCCACCTTTTAATTGTAAAACTTGTTTTACCTTGTAATTTATTTGTTATAGTGATGATGAAATTTTTGTTTTTGTAGGCACTGGACAAGGTAAATACTGGTCAAATCAAAGCAGATGATAAATTATATGAGCTCAAATCATTACAAGAATCTAATAAAAAAGTAGAGGTATGTTATAACTATTGATGTTGAATGAATTGATTACTGAACAGGATTGATGTTACTCTGTTACTCATATATTGGGAGCAAAAGCGTTTCCAGAGACCATTCAACACAATAATGTTAAAAGTTGTTCTGATATTGATAATATTTAATATATGAATTTGGTTTTAAACTTTAGTGATCATGAATCTTACATTTGCTAAAAACCTGTATTTCTACAAATGTTATAGAAATATGCTGAATAGGCAATTTTTAGGAACTACTAAAACTGAACAAAACAGTAAATTAGGAATACTATATCTATAAATAATACTTCCATACAAAAATTCTACCTGTTTTTTCATGTATCATTATTTTCATTGTTGACTATGAATGGTATCTTTAGTCAGACTAGTTTTTAACCAGGTAGCACCTTTTTGCAACTGTCTACATATAGAACAGCAATATGAAATACTCTTCTTGTGGTATATGGATACTTCATTGGATTTTTAGAGGTTTATTGTCTCATATGCATAAAATGTATACATCGTTTCTGAATAAGTATTTATGACAGATAATGGATATTTGATCTGTAGTTGCTTTAACATCCATGCATTTCAAATACTGAATATGAAGCCCTGTCCTTCAGTTATGCTCCAATGAGAATTTTGCATTGTTTCTACACTAAATTGATTCAAACATTGTGTTCATTAAAAGTACTTATAATACTAAGGCCATTGATAAATTGTCTGCTGTTGCATATGCATCCATATTATTCAGTCTCAATCAGAATATGAGTATTTGCTCCTTCAGTCCTGCATATTTTGAAATTTTTCACTGTTGACATGTTTTTCTATTAACTTTGAAACTTTTGATTACTTTACATATATAAATTTGTGATTAGGTCAGTTTAAGGAGAACCACCAGTAGTAGGTCAATGATATTTGGTATATAGATTCATTGATTAGCATTGGCACATCTCACTTCAGTGGTCTTGTTGAAGAGTGTTTGCCTCAAGTGCCGGTGGTCAAAGGTTTAACCCTGTCTGGTTCAAAACAAACACTTTAAAACTGGTATTAAATACTTTTCTGCTAAGAATGCACCATTAAGGAGTAAGAGCAAAGACTGGTTAGCTCTGAGTCAGAATAATGTGCCTGGCTAGGGTGACATGTCTTCCTGTGGACTGTTACCTTGTAAACTAGTACGTTAAAAATCTGACTCAGCATATCGGTCTAGTACAAAGAAGGGTAAATATTCATTAACATGTTCTCATCTTGAATATGCATTTAAATTTGCTGCTGGACATTAAACAGCCATCCATCATCATCAATTCAAGGCAGAATGAGAGGATCTGTTCCCTGTCCCTATTTATAGGGTTTCCTGTCCTTAATGAGGAGTTATAGTTGAAATGTTCCAGTTATCCATTAGGTATTTCTGATAGACCATTGACAAAATGTACGTTTTTGAATTAGCAGCCTTCAATCATGATATATATAAGTTCTGTCATTTCCTTATTCATGCTGCAGTGACTTTGATGGCCCAACAAATTGATGCTTTTGATTTTACTGCAAAGCAAGCATGAAATACCTTGTCTTGTTTTTGTTATCATTTTTAGTTTGTGTCATGCGAAGTAACACAATAACGTTTGTTTGAAAGACAAAAATTGCTTAAAAAATAATAGTCAACAAAATGGTAAACTATTGTTAATTAATTTTTTTATTTTCTAGTATTTAAAAATTGTACGCCATTTAGAAGGTTATGGTGAAGTGATGTTTCCCCACTGTGCATGTGACTCCCGGAAGGATGGTCATGTGATTGCTATAGTAGGAACTAGTTGTTTTAAATTACAAGCCTGTAAATCTGATGGTACATTAGAGGTAAGGAATTGAAGTTTGATTTTTATTACACTCATGAAACTAGAAAAAATGGTTTTACAATCACATATAAGATTTGCATCTCAGGCAGCTTTTATTTACTGTTTTATAATTTATATATACCTATATATAACCTCTGGATATGATATTGAATGTTTTAAAGAACATTATTATATGTCTATAGATTTTCTGTTTTTTCTCATTGGCTAAAAGCATATTGAATCTTCTTTTGTAAAGCATTGTAATCTGTGCTGGAAAATCTTGAGAGGTTTATATAAGATTTGAAACTGTATAAGATAAGATAATATATTATAGTATAAAAACAAGGAGCAATTAAATAACTTGAGCAATACATTTTGTACCAGAAAATTGGTGATGGGTTATAAAGTCATATAATGAAACAATTGTTGACTTTTGATATAAGTTGATACCATGATTATCCATTCCAGCTATCTGATATTCACCTCAGCTATTGACCTGGGTGAATATCACCAACCAGTCACAATGTGTAGTTATGAAATATGATATTTTTATTTCTGTCACAGTATTGAGTTTTGAATGACATTTATGTTTCAGTCACAGTATTGAGTTTTGTATGATATTTATATTTTAGTCACAATTTATACAGTTATATATTTATGTTTCAGTCACAATGCATTGAGTTATATGATATTTATATTTCAGTCACAATTTATACAGTTATATATTTATGTTTCAGTCACAATGCATTGAGTTATATGATATTTATATTTCAGTCACAATGTATAGAGTTATATGATATTTATATTTCAGTCACAATGCATTGAGTTATATGATATTTATATTTCAGTCACAATGCATTGAGTTATATGATATTTATATTTCAGTCACCATGTATAGAGTTATATGATATTTATATTTCAGTCACAATGCATTGAGTTATATGATATTTATATTTCAGTCACCATGTATAGAGTTATATGATATTTATATTTCAGTCACCATGTATACAGTTATATGATATTTATATTTCAGTCACAATGCATTGAGTTATATGATATTTATATTTCAGTCACCATGTATACAGTTATATGATATTTATATTTCAGTCACAGTGTATAGAGTTATATGATATTTATATTTCAGTCACAATGCATTGAGTTATATGATATTTATATTTCAGTCACAATGCATTGAGTTATATGATATTTATATTTCAGTCACCATGTATAGAGTTATATGATATTTATATTTCAGTCACAATGCATTGAGTTATATGATATTTATATTTCAGTCACCATGTATAGAGTTATATGATATTTATATTTCAGTCACCATGTATACAGTTATATGATATTTATATTTCAGTCACAATGCATTGAGTTATATGATATTTATATTTCAGTCACCATGTATAGAGTTATATGATATTTATATTTCAGTCACAATGCATTGAGTTATATGATATTTATATTTCAGTCACCATGTATAGAGTTATATGATATTTATATTTCAGTCACCATGTATACAGTTATATGATATTTATATTTCAGTCACAATGCATTGAGTTATATGATATTTATATTTCAGTCACCATGTATAGAGTTATATGATATTTATATTTCAGTCACAATGCATTGAGTTATATGATATTTATATTTCAGTCACAGTGTATACAGTTATATGATATTTATATTTCAGTCACAATGTATTGAGTTTCAGTGGAATGATATAAAAGGTTATGATGTTGAAGAAGAAGGAATGACTTTTAGTTTTGAGTATGAAAGACCAGGGAAGAAATCACGAGTTGTTCAGATATTAACTCCTTATGTAAGATAATAGTCAAATTTTAAAATCACTAATGCAACAGTAAAATCATTTAAAAATCCTTTAAATTTAAGTTATCTATCCAACAAATAACATGAAATTTTCTTAATTTCCAAATGATCTGAAAAGAATACTATGGCAAGTATACCCTTTGAAACTTCAAATGAAACACATTCAAAGAACTTATATTTGCCAGGCTTCCTTGCTAGATGCAAGGTCTGTTGCTCACTTATATTTTTAAATGTTTGGGTTTGATTCTTGATGAAGGTAAATCCAGAAAAGCACTGCAATCCAATCAAATTTATAAAATGTTTTCATTTAATGTTAATTATCTTCATGATTTAGGAAGTCCTACTATAAAACTGATATTATCAAGTTGTATCAATTACAACCAATCATCTGAAAAAATTTTACAAACTACATTCATCTTTGATGAAACAATCTTGTATTTTGGTTCAATTTTTTATTGCATATCTATTGCACATTATTGACAGGTTTTTATTTGTTTTTGCAGTATATATATATGAAAGATTGTTTCGATCGAATACATGAAGAAAAAGAAATGGAAGAATGATAATTACTATAGGTAAATAAAACAAATTTTAGCTTATGTTTATAACTACCTATACAGTTTATCCAGGGGTGAAAGCTTCTTTAGTGATCGAAAATGAAAATGAAAATGAAAATGAAATTGAAATTCTAATGTTTTGCAGTGCACTTTTTTTCCTTTATGATTAAAGCTGAAAAAAAAGACACACTGCACATTAAGCACCTTTGCAACAACTCTTATGGGGGATCCATAGGTGCCCTGTCCATCCATCTCTATCCAATATACCCTCATTTTCCAGTGGCAGTCCAAATTCTCCCAACCTTCAACCTATTACAGGACCTACCTATTGTATTTATTGTTTTAAAAATTTGTTCTTGTCCTGAACATGCTTGACACATATCCCACTAGATATTAAGCAACCACCAATCATCAATTAATTATTTGATATTTGTATAATTCAGACAATTGTAAAGAAATGTTTGTATTTGTATAGCTTACTTTACCTTTACCTTTGTAGGGCAGAAAAACAGATTTGGAGATCTGGATGGGTTCTTTAAAAAAAATCTTTAGTGTTTATACTAAAATTTAAATTCAAGCAAAAACTCCAATTTAAGCTTGATTTTTTTTTTAAATGAAAGCCAAATATATGATTAACTTGTTAAATGTGTTTTACTTTTGTAGATGAGTAAATGTTTCATCAGTGTTTATCTAGTTAATGTGTTATCATGGTTATGGCACATTCAGTCAAGGGCACACAGCTATTACATGTGAAGGACCAATATCTAGCAGCTTAACAAGTCATCTGATGTCTCATTGGATAGAAAACTAGACTAAGATGTCATCTGTCATTTCATTGGAAACACAATACTATTTTGTGAGTCATCTCATAAGACATCAAGGTTCTTCCAGAGATATGTCAAGCTACCATGAAAACCAAACCTGGCATAGTGTTAAATGTTATATGAGTGAAATTTGTTCATTTTCAAGTCACTTTATAAACAACCAGACAAATGTTCCATTATATATGCTTGTTTTGGTCAACTTTACTTTAAAAAGAAAATTTTCTGCTATATATTCTCAACTTCAATAGACTCTTAATTAGTGAAGTACATCTCATTAATAGTCGTAAGTCTTAGTTACAAAAACTTACCAGGCTATACAAAACTTAGGTCAAACAGGGGACCAGATGAACAAAAAAAAAAGATTTACCTGTGTTGTATATTTGATATAAATAGATTTACTTGTTCTTTGAGTGTACAACCTATGTTAAGATGAATACTCCTACTTAAGGAACAACTTCAACTATAAATATATTCAAATCATATATCAAAGGTCAATAGTGTCTTTCTGGTCTCACATGTGTTGTTTGGTTGCTGTCTTGTTGACATTTACCACTGCACATGTCCCTTTAAGCATTATCCATTTATTTGAAGTACTGTTAACCTTTGTAGATTACAATGTTATTTACATCTTTGGTACATTTGTATTACATATTTTTTATAAAAACTTGTCTATGCTTAAATATTTAAATTTGAATTATAAACAGGAAACATCCCTAGATGAAGGTCTGATGTTCACTTATATTTTTAAATGTTTGGGTTTGATTCCTGATGAAGGTTAATCCAGAAAAGCACTGCAATCCAATCAAATTTATAAAATGTTTACATTTAATGTTTATTATCTTCATGATTTAGGAAGTCCTACTACAAAACTCATCTATTGGGTCAAAATGGGAAATGGGTGTTGAGGGGGTGTAATAAAAGAAGAATTGGGTATAAAGCAAGTATTTTTTGTATTACAAAAAATTGTTATTCAAGATTTGAAAGGTAAATTGGTGAATGTAGTGGTTGTTGTTTTGTTAAGTTTCCTTATATGTGATTTGTTATTTATGCATAGAAACAAGTCAGGTTCAAAGGATTTATTATTATTGTAAATTATTTATTTATTGATTACTGCTTGTAGAGTGGAAATATGGCTTATAATATTGTTGAATCTACTCAGAAGATATTCAGTAAGGGCTTGAGATTTTTTCCCAACATTTATTAATTTTTATGTAAAAAATATTATTATTCTCCTTCATTTTTGCATATCACATGCATTTGAGATTGTTCAGTATGTGATATTGTAAGAGTTCGGAACTGTACATGTATTATGATATCTCTGCTTACTGTAGCAGATTTGTATAGTGATAATTGTGTTCATTAGTTTTTCCATCCTTATGTTCATCCACAAGTTCCACCTTTCCATGGTACTAGATTTCACTTAAACTTTTAGAAAATATTAATAGACTTCTGTAATCTTGGAACTCTTATTTTATGTATTGATCCAAATGATTTCACCATATAAAAAAATATAACTTTTCATATTTACAAAAGGGGGTAAGAATCTTGTTTCTTATTTGATAGTCACTGTTATTCACCAGGTTTCTAGACATTTTAGAGCTTTACATATTGTATAGATACATGTTTAACATATGTTGATCTCTAAATGTCTTCTGTTTTTTTTCGTGTTGATTTGTAAACTCATAAGTGTATACCCCAAAGCTCCTTTATTTGAACAGGCTAAATTATCTTGAAGTTTTAGAAGAATTTTCGTTATATGATGCCATTTTGTACATCCTCTTTTATTTTATTTTATGCAAAATATGTTTGTTCATTTCACAGAGTAAAACATGGGTTTTGTCATATCTATACAAATGTGTGATTAAGAGATCTACTCAGTTTTTATACGACCGCAAAAATTAAAAAATTTTTGGTCGTATATTGGTATGACGTTGGCGGCGTCGTAGTCGTCGTCGTCGTCGTCGTCGTCGTCCGGCGTCCGGCGTCGTCCGAAGACACATTGGTTTTCGCACTCTAACTTTAGTTTAAGTGAATGGATCTCCATGAAATTTCACCATAAGGTTCAATACCACGAAAGGAAGGTTGGGATTGATTTTGGGGGTTATGGTACCAACAGTTAAGGAATTAGGGGCCAAAAAGTGGCCAAAAATAAGCATTTTTGTAACTTTCAGACAATAACTTGTGTGTAAGTGTATGGATCTCTCTGACATTGTACCACAAGGTTCCATATCACAAAAGGAAGACTGTTATTGATTTTGGGGGTAATTGCCTCAAAATTTTAGGAATTAGGGGCCAAAAAAAGGGGCAAAAAACAAGCATTTTTCTAGTTTCATGACAATAACTTGTGTGTAAGTGTTTGGATATTTCTGAAATTGTACTACAAGGTTCCATATCACAAAGGGAAAGCTGGAATTGAGTTTGGGGGTAATTGCCCGAAATGTTTAGGAATTGGGGGCCAAAAAGGGGCCAAAAATAAGCATTTTTCTAGTTTCCAGACAATAACTTGTGTTCAAGTGTATGGATCTCTCTGAAATTGTACTGCAAGGTACCATACCACAAAGGGAAGGCTGGGATTGAGTTTGGGGGTGATGAATCATAAGGGGGTTCAAAAAATTTGGGGGGGGGGGGGGGATTTTTTTTTTTTTTTTTTTCTTTTTTTCCTTTTTTTTTTCTTTTAAAATTTTCCATTTTAAGTTGGTTATTTTTTATTTATATTTAAAAGCAAATAATAATGATATGGTAGGAGATACACACCAAACAGGATGTGTAAATTATTATATAATAAGTATTGTGCAATAGCAAGAAATTTTCAATTGCACAGTATTGCACAATAGCAAGAAATCTTCAATTGCACAGTATTGCGCAATAGCAAGAAATCTTCAATTGCACAGTATTGCGCAATAGCAAGAAATATCCAATAGCACAATATTGCGCAATAGCAAGAAATTGTCAATTGTACAGTATTGCGCAATAGCAAGAAATATTCAATTGCACAGTATTGTGCAAAAGAAGATACTTCGTATAAATTGCTTATTTCTTGATCAATTTCAATGGGGTTTTATTCTTGAATTCTTGGGGTTCTTTAATATGCTGAATCTAACCGTGTATTAAGTTTTTGGATTTTGGGCCCCGTTTTTAAATTGGTCCACATTGAGGTCCAAAGGGTCCAAAATTTAACTTTGTTTGATTTCATCAAAAATTGAATTATTGGGGTTCTTTGATATGCCGAATCTAACCGTGTATTTAAATTTTTGATTATGGGCCCAGTTTTCAAGTTGGTACAAGTTGGGTCCAAAATTAAACTTTGTTTGATTTCAACAAAAATTGAATATATGGGGTTCTTTGATATGCTGAATCTAAACATGTATTTAGATTTTAGATTTTTGGCCCAGTTTTCAAGTTGGTCCAAATTGGGGTCCAAAATTAAACTTTGTTTGATTTCAACAAAAATTGAATATATGGGGTTCTTTGATATGCTGAATCTTACCATGTATTTAGATTTTTTATTTGTGGGCCCGCTATCAAATTGGTTCATATTGAGGTCAAAAGGGTCCAAAATTAAACTTTGTTTGATTTCATCAAAAATTGAATTATTGGGGTTCTTTGATATGCCAAATCTAACCGTGTATTTACATTTTTAATTTTGGGTCCTGTTTTTTAAATTGGTCTACATTAAGGTCCAAAGGGTCCAAAATTAAACTTCGTTTGATTTTAACAAAAATTGAATTTTTGGGGTTCTTTGATATGCTGAATCTAAACATATGTTTAGATTTTTGATTATGGGACCAGTTTTCAAGTTGGTCCAAGTTGGGGTCCAAAATTAAACTTTTTTTGATTTCAACAAAAATTGAATATATGGGGTTCTTTGATATGCTGAATCTAAACATGTATTTAGATTTTAGATTTTTGGCCCAGTTTTCAAGTTGATCCAAATTGGGGTCCAAAATTAAACTTTGTTTGATTTCAACAAAAATTGAATATATGGGGTTCTTTGATATGCTGAATCTTACCATGTATTTAGATTTTTTAGTTGTGGGCCCGCTATCAAATTGGTTCATATTGAGGTCAAAAGGGTCCAAAATTAAACTTTGTTTGATTTCATCAAAAATTTAATTATTGGGGTTCTTTGATATGCCAAATCTAACCGTGTTTTTAGATTTTTAATTTTGGGTCCCGTTTTTAAAATTTGTCTACATTAAGGTCCAAAGGGTCCAAAATTAAACTTAGTTTGATTTTAACAAAAATTGAATTCTTCAGGTACTTTGATATGCTGAATCTAAACATGTGTTTAGATTTTTGATTATGGGACCAGTTTTCAAGTTTGTCCAAGTTGGGGTCCAAAATTAAACTTTGTTTGATTTCAACAAAAATTGAATATATGGGGTTCTTTGATATGCTGAATCTAACCATGTATTTTGATTTTGGACATTGGACCATAATAGGTAAATTAAAAAAATTGAAGTTCTTAGACCACATTCTTTCTGTGTCAGAAACCTATGCTGTGTCAAATATTTAATCACAATCCAAATTCAGAGCTGTATCAAGCTTGAATGTTGTGTCCATACTTGCCCCAACTGTTCAGGGTTCGACCTCTGCGGTCGTATCAAGCTGCGCCCAGCGAAGCATTTTATTCCAGTTGAAATCATGAATTTTTTTTTCTTCTTAAATTATGGTTCATAAAGTTTCATGTAAATTATTTTTTGCAAAATGTGAAATACAATGAGTTGTATAATTTGTAATATAATTATTACACAAACAGAGTATAAGTGCTTTGATATTTTAAGAATGATATGTAATTGTTTACACCAAATGTATATGATATTGGTGTGCCAAAACACTGGGCACTTGTTCACAGCAATAAAAGTTTTATGATGAAATGAACTTGGAAGATAGGACAATATTTCTAATAGGGTAATAAGGATTTCTATTTGGTAAAATCTTACTGTTTTAATAATAAATGTAGCAGTTATGTTCCAACATTTTAATCAGTTTCTGTTATTTAACACCTTAAAAATAGTTGCAAGTCAAAATTGATGATTTATATTTTAGATTGAAAAATTGTTCCCTGTGATTTTTGTTGAGCCTGCGACTTTTGTCGCAGAAAGCTCGACATAGGGATAGTGATCCGGCGGCGGCGGCGTTAGCTAACTTCTTACAAGCTTTATATTTTAGAAGGTGGAAGACCTGGATGCTTCATACTTTGTATATGGATGCCTCATGTTACGAAGTTTCCGCCTGTCACATGTCTAATGTCCTTGACCTCATTTTCATGGTTCAGTGACTACTTGAAAAAAAAGTTAAGATTTTTTGTAATATTAAATTCTCTCTTATTATAAGTAATAGGATAACTATATTTGGTATGTGCGTACCTTGCAAGGTCCTCATGCCTGTCAGACAGTTTTCACTTGACCTCAACCTCATTTCATGGATCAGTGAACAAGGTTAAGTTTTGGTGGTCAAGTCCATATCTCAGATACTATAAGCAATAGGTCTAGTATATTCGGTGTATGGAAGGACTGTAAGGTGTACATGTCCAACTGGCAGGTGTCATCTGACCTTGACCTCATTTTCATGGTTCAGTGGTTATAGTTAAGTTTTTGTGTTTTGGTCTGTTTTTCTTATACTGTATGCAATAGGTCTACTATATTTGGTGTATGGAATGATTGTAAGGTGAACATGTCTAGCTGGCAGGTGTCATCTGACCTTGACCTCATTTTCATGGTTCAGTGGTTATAGTTAAGTTTTTGTGTTTTGGTCCGTTTTTCTTATACTGTATGCAATAGGTCTACTATATTTGGTGTATGGAATGATTGTAAGGTGTACATGTCTAGCTGGCAGGAGTCATCTCACCTTGACCTCATTTTCATGGTTCAGTGGTTATAGTTAAGTTTTTGTGTTTTGGTCTGTTTTTCTTATACTTCATGCAATAGGTCTACTATATTTGGTGTATGGAATGATTGTAAGGTGTACATGTCCAACTGGCAGGTGTCATCTGACCTTGACCTCATTTTCACGGTTCATTGCTCAGTGTTAAGTTTATGTGTTTCAGTCTGTTTTTCTTAAACTATAAGCAATAGGTCAGCTATATTTGGTGTATTGAAGGATTGTAAGCTGTTCATGTCTGCCTGGCATGGTTCATCTGAACTTGACCTCATTTTCACGATTCATTGGTCAATGTTTAGTTTTCTTGGTTAAGTCTGTTTCTTAGAAACTATAAGCAATAGGTCAACTATATTTAGTGTATTGAATGATTGTAAGGTGTACATGTATTTCTCTCGTTTGGTTTATATGACCTTGACTTCATTTTCTTGGATCATGTTAAGTTTATGTAATAGTTGTAGTAAAGCTTTCATTTAGGACTATCAACATAATATCAATGGTTAGTAAAGAAGGCGAGACATTTCAGCGTGTGCACTCTTGTTTAAATTATGTGGAGGTCTTGGTTTCCAATAAGGTTTTCCTAAGCTCATATAAACAGATGTTTGTCTTAGTGAAATGATGTGCAATTGAACACAGGCCAAATGAGCAATATATATTATTGATATTACTTAATAAAATGGACAAAGAGTAAGTTGAATTGTTTTGTAATTTGTTATGATTTGTTGCTTATAATTGTTGATATTGCTGCAGTATGATAAATAAGATATTTTGGTGTCCACACCATGATTTATCACACAGAAAATAAAGTGCTATAAATTTCTTCTTTATTTATAAGTATGTAGTAGATGTACCATATGTTGTACAATTAAAGTGCAATAAAATTGGCATGCCATATTAATTTGTAAAAACTGATGTTTCTTCATTTAGCTGTTATGTTTTTTTTGTGTAATCTTGTATAATTTTGATGTTACTGTACTTAATCCAGATGAAACCTTAGAGTATTAAGAATGTTAACAGCATAAAACTGAATTCCAATTAAGTTCAGAATTTGCTCAAACTCTCCCTTTTTTCAGAATTTTACATTTAGTTTAGTCCACAAGTCATTTTCCTCAGCTGATTTTTGTAAATGAATGCCAAATATTTTAGAAGGATTTTCATTTCACACATTTCCATAATGTCAGGCTACTCACAAAAAAATTATTAATTATAGTTTATACATGAGTCTCTGGGAGGGCCAATGGTATCAGACCCTAAAATGTTCAAATACATATCAATAAAAACATTTTTCATCTAAACTTTGCTTAAATGTAGGAGGCTTACTGCTTTGGATATGACAAGAACATTTGGCCAGAATGAGATTCTTGATATACATTATTTATTTCTCTTTAGTATTTAATTGTTGCAATTGGCATTGACTTGGAGGTTTTTATATACTAAAGTATATGAATTTAATTTTCAACAAAATTTCTTGTTTTCATTAGCTTATTATATTTTATAGTAATAAGTAAAGATTTGTAGCCATTTTCACAAAATATTTTAATAAAAAAAACCATTAAGTCTTAAAGTTTAATTTTGTGAAAATAAACATTGCTGGCACTACTGAATGCAATAAGGTTTAACATTTTTTATAATTATTTCATTCATTTCCATAATCCATTATAAAATGGAACAAAATTGTCAGTTTGGTTTCCATCTCTGAAAAATGAACATTTTGTTTGGTTTTTTTTTTGGTAAAGAACAAAAATTGTTGTGAGTCATTTCACAGCTAAAAACTCCGTTTGTAACTGTTACCAAAGAAACATCAGTGGTTCGATAGAATACATATATTATAGAACAATAATCATAAGCACTGGTGCTGTTTATATTACCATATATATATATATATATGTATTGTAACTTTTACTGTGAACTTTTCGCACATTTTTCCCCATAAACAGAATATCAAATTCAGGTCAGATTCATTTAACTTTTAGTATTTACATATTTGTATTTTTATGTTGTGTTTCTTGCCACTTAAAGACATCAGTATTAAGATATTAGATTTGAAGGTATATTATGTGGCTTTTTCTTGCTCTGTAAATTCACCATATCAAATAAAAAAATCGTATGATTCCATTACTAATCAAATTCTTTTAACTTTAGAAGAAAGCTTTTAAGAAAACGAAAATATTAGTCAAGCGTTACTCACACAATTTGACTTGACAAATGCGATTTTGCAATTTAACTGAATTTACTATCAATATGTGGCTGTCGTAACTCATGAAAAAGGTATATTATTTACTCCAGCTGCAATGTCATCCTTTATTCAAATCAGATTCAGTTTGAAATTCATTTGACATAAGAGCTTATTTGGCACAAAATCGTACCTTCATTTTCTAGTTTAATTGGATGTCATTCACCATCATAGCATATAGACACACGATTTCAACTATTAATATTATTATTTGTAGACTTCTTATCACTACAGAATGTTGATCATATTCAACATTTTTATTTTGTGAAAAATATTGAAAACATTAAAGAGTTTAATGACAACAGTATATTTGATAAAGATTTTGTTGTGAATACTACTATTCTTCATTTGGATAATGTTAGCAAGTGAGTATGTTGTAAATCAAACCTGGGATAAAGTATGTTCAGCATCAGATGTAGGATATGATGAATTAGCAATAGGAAGAAAGGAACAAGATAATATTACATTTTTTGCTTTAATGATAATGGTGAGATTTTCTTAATGTTTATGAACATCCATCCTTCATTTATAAAAATGGAAGGTTGTCTGTATGATAATATGACGATGTTCAGAATATATTTACAATCTACAGATATTTATATATGTAGTATTAGACAATATGATGCAAAATCAAAATCTCATGTTAGATGATCTAGACACACTGATAAAAAATTATATTTTAAAGTACTAGATACTTGGAAATGTGATAGATACAATCTTTAAGTATATGTGTATAACAATGTGACAAAGAAAATTAGATTTTATAACAAAGACTTCTCATCCAATCACCATATTTCTTGCAAAAGACACAATCTGTGCAAGATGCTACAAGAGATATATAAAAAAAAAATTTCATTTACTATTTTGGCTTAATTTTTAAACTGTAAATATAAGAATTTCTATATTTGATGAATTTTGATACACAATGATCTCTCTGTCAAAGTATATAAATATTTGTTGTTGATAAAACTGGTTCATTCATGGTTTTGAACGTCTTTCTTTTCCCAATGAAATTAAAGTGAACTCTTAGAAACACATGCATTGTTAACATTGAAACGTACAAGTATTGGCAGAATTTCATCTAAAAGAGCAATTGTTTACTTATCACACAATTCATGTGCTACAAAAACTTCCCTTACAGTTCTGTTAAAAAAAAGATACACATGTATGAATGGAATTATTTGTTGTAAATGTGATATGTGTTTTAGAATGTCTGTGATTCATGACAGAGTTACCTCCTCCTACTACATTTCCTTATAAAGATGTTATGTTATAGTATTGTTATCATTAATTGTAAATAAAATAATTAAACAGTAATATTAAACTCATTTCTGGTGTTATTTTTTCATCTCTATTTGCAACATCTCAGATTAAACATTATGTCAGTCTTGATCCAATGTCATGCAAGTTGATTTGTTTTTATACGACCACAAAAAATTTGCGTTCGTATATTGCTATCACGTCGTCGTCGTCCGAAGACATTTGGTTTTCGGACAATAACTTTAGTTTAATTGTATGGATCTCTATGAAATTTAACCAAAAGGTTTAATACCACAAAAGGGTTGGGATTGTTTTGGGGTGATGGTCCCAACTGTTTAGGAATTAGGTGCCAAAAAGGGGCCCAAAACAAGTATTTTTCTAGTTTCAGGACAATAACTTGTGTATAAGTATTTTGATTGCTCTGAAATTGTACCACAAGGTTCAATACCACAAGTAGAAGGTTGGGATTCATTTTGGGGGTAATTGCCTAAACCGTTCAGGAGTTAGGGGCCAAAACAAGCATTTTTCTAGTTTTCAGACAATAAATTGTGATTAAGTGTATGGATGTCTCTATAAATTGTACCAAATTTTACAAACAAAAAAAATTGTCTTCAAATATTTTTTTTTGGGGGGGGGTCAATTTTTTTCCCTCAAGATTAAAGAAATTATCAATTTTCCCCGAAAAAAATTGGGGGTCACAATTTATTTTGCTAATTCTTTGTATATAGTCTGAAAACAGATTTACTAAGTATTGCGCAACAGCAAGAAATCTTCAATTGAATATAAATTCAAATCATATAACCATTTTCAAGTTCTTTGACTACATTTATTCTGTGTCAGAAACCTATAATGTGTCAAATATTTAATTACAATCCAAATTCAGACCTGTATCCAGCTTAATTATTGTGTCCATGTCTGCCCCAAGTGTTCAGGGTTGGACCTCTGTGGTCGTATCCAGCTGTGCTCGGCAAAGCAAATTATTATAATTTAACATCCCTTTGACTGATGTTTAGTGCTTTTTGTGCATGAAACATACTTCAAATGAATTCAATTATACATATTTTGGCAATGGAATGTTGAAATTGATGAAAGATTCTAGCATTTATATGTGTGGATATGGAACAAAAAATGTTAATATTTTATTGTTGAAAACCTTGCATTTAAAATTCCATAAAGTGTTGACAAGTTATTGATGAAAAAAAAACTTTTAACGACAGACTGAACCTAAATGTTGGCGCTAACAGAATCTAGGATAGCTATGTCTTGTTTTTTTCGCAACATAAATGTCTCAATCTCAACAAAAATCATAGATCAAAACTTGTTTTCACACCATATCAATTCCAGGTTCAAACCCTTATTTGGCATATATTTTTTAAAGTTATCATCATGAACATGTAATTTAAGTTTCAAGTTGATGTGACCACAACTTCAAGGGTAAACTACATTAAACCATTAGGCAGCAACCATTTGATTTTAGGTGGGGGGGGGGGGGGGGGGGCTATTTTTTTTCTGAGACAAACTTTTTTTTACATTGAGCCAAAATAACTTGTAATTTTTTCCAATCAAAAATAAATCATTTTTTTCACCATCTATTGAAAACAATTTTTTTTTTTTTTTTTTTTTTCAATTCAATTTCATTTTTGTCGAGCCTTCGACTTTTGTCGAAAAAGCGAGACATAGCGATCCTACATTGTGTCGTCGTCGTTTTTGTCGTCGTCGATGGCGTCCACAAATATTCACTCTGTGGTTAAAGTTTTTGAAATTTTAATAACTTTCTTAAACTGTCCTGGATTTCTACCAAACTTGGACAGAATCTTGTTTATGATCATTAGATAATATCCAAAAGTAAATTTTGTAAAAAAAAAAAAACATTTTTTCTGTATTTTACTTATAAATGGACTTAGTTTTTCTGCCAGGAAACATTACATTCACTCTGTGGTTAAAAATTTGAAATTTTAATAACTTTCTTAAACTATCCTGAATTTCTACCAAACTTGGAAAGAAGCTTGTTTATGATCATAAGATAGTATCCAGAAGTAAATTTTGTAAAAAAAAATAATCTTTTTTTCAGTATTTTACTTATAAATGAACTTAGTTTTTCTGCCAATTAACATTACATTCACTCTGTGGTGAAAGTTTTTAAAATTTTTACAACTTTCTTAAACTATCTTGGATTTGTACCAAACTTTGACAGAAGCTTGTTTATGATTAAAAGCTAGTATCTAGAAGGAAATTTTGTTAAAATTTTGTTCCATTTTTTCCTTATTATACTTATGAATAGACTTAGTTTTTCTTCCAGTTAACATTACATACAGTCTGCAGTTTAAGTTTTTAAAACATTTATTAGATTCATAAACTATCCTGGATTTTTACCAAACTTGGACAGAAGCTACTTACAATCAAAAGATAATAGAGAGGAATATTTTTATCAATTTTTTTCCTCATTTTTGTTGTGCCTGCGATTAACAGAAAAAGTAGGTGAGACATATAGATTCTTACATTGATACCAGTAGATTATCGGATTTATCCAATCAAGATAGTTAAATTATCAATTTTAAAGTTCGAGCCTTGGCGAGGACTTTAAAATTTATAATTTAACTATCGAGATTGGATAAATCTGATAATCCACGAGTAACTATGTTAAGAATCTGTTTCTCTAATGATTAAAAAATAAATTTTTATATTTTGTTCAACGAAAATCCCCTTCGAGTTCCTTCCACATTCCATGAAGTAGTCAATTTCATTAACACCTGTTGCCATATTTTAATTCATCTAGTGTGCTGATAAAGGTTATGACCCTTAAATTCATCCAATCATCTTCTGAGATCACCGGCAACCACACGTTGATTAAATTTTTTTATACAATGGATTCGGAAAGGGATAAATTTCCATAGAATTAGAGAAACTGGGTTCCACAGAACCCTTACGAATTTTATATACTTGTAAGGACATGTAAATATTCGGTGAACCAGTATATAATTCTGTTTAAAGAATAGGGACCATCTTCAGCTTACCCTTTGGTATGAAGGTGCCATGGCCCTTGATGTAAGAACCATGGATACCCTTTGGTGATATTTTATCCTCATTGGATTGTTGTTTCTTTGACTTAATATTCACCATTTTTTTTATTTCATTGGTAATTTATAATTTTGCCTTTGTGTCACTGAATACTGAATAGTTTTAGTTGAACATCAAACTAACTACATGCATGCAACTACATATTGAGTATGGTCGAACTCCTAGGTAGATGAATATTGGGTTGCTGATATTATAAATCATAGAAATTTTATACTGATAGTGATACTATATACATTTGATGCAACTACATATGCTATTAAATAATTTAACAATAGAAATAAACCTTATACTCCCCCGTCACTTTTCAGTCAGAGTTCTTTTCTTCTCTTTCAGTTGGTAAAAATACACGATGTCCAACTTTTTTTTTCATGTTTTAAATTAGGCAACAATTAATTTTTTTTTGTCTTTTTTTTCTCTTTAGTGATGAGTCAAATTATTTTTAGACCCCTACCGACGAAGTCGAAGGGGGCTATAGGTTTGCACTACGTCCGTCTGTCCGTCTGTCCGTCTGATGATTTAGTCCAGAGTTATGGACCATATCTAATGTTAAGTACTATGTTAAACCATATTTCTGTACAAAGGGAGATAACTCATTTTTTAAAAGACATTCTTTGTTAAATTATTTGAGGAATTTTTTGACAGATTTGTTTGTTATTTAGTATAAACTAATTTTCTGAATACTATATATATAAAAAAAAATATGAAGAGAAAATCTTTAATTAGATAATAATCTATTTTTATTAATGTATATATTTCAATACATTACATTGTGTAGTTAAAAGTTGTTGACATTTTATAGATAAGTTACAAATCTATATCAGTTTGTGACAAATGAAAGAAAAAAATATTTGGAACTATTAATTATATCTGATTATAATTTGAAAATAGATATATGCTGTATTACATCATATCTAATTCTAGAGAACTATTAATCATATCTAATGTTTTTTTTCATCATGCTTATAAGATATTGATTGATAATTGGTATATAGTTTTATCATGACATGTTACAGATCAAGTTCAAATTTTTTTTTCGGTCTAATAATTTTGTGCAGAGTTATGGTCCTTGGACTTGAAAAATTCAGTCATATAATCAGTTTTCAACACTGTTTTTAGTCATGCTTGAAGATATTGACATGATATTTACTTTTTGTTTACACACCATGACAAGTTATAGAACAAGTTCGCATTTTGTTCCAGTATAATGAATTTTTACCCGGTAGGGGACTATGTATTGACATGCAATACACTCAGAATGCTTGTTTTCCACATTTTCCAGAAACAAACTCTTTTTTTCAAAATCCATAGCCCCCCCCCCAGAATATCAAATGGTTGCTGCTTAACTTTAACATGATACAGGACAAATGAACACACATGAACACACACAACAGAAAACACAATGCCCTAACCATAATTTACAAAAAAAATTACAAAAAAGAGGACACAAAAGGTCTTGAAAAGTTTCTGGTGTAAGCTCGATGTGGCTATTGTAGGATTGTGCAATAAAATATGTACATGAAAATCTGGTTGGATGTTGTAAGTATCTGCAATTTAAATCTAAACTGTTTACCCCAGCAAAGTTATATATTTTTGGTGAAACTTTCCTCAGATGGTTATATGGTACTGAGGAACAAAGAGGAGAACATAAAATGGAATGTCACTTTATTATACGACCGCAAAAATTTTTGCGGTCGTATATTGGTATGACGTTGGCGTCGTCGTCGTTGTCGTCGTCGTCAGCGTCGTCCGAAGACACATTGGTTTTCGCACTCTAACTTTAGTTTAAGTGAATGGATCTCTATGAAGTTTTACCATAAGGTTCAATACCACAAAAGGAAGGTTGGGATTGATTTTGGGGGTTATGGTACCAACAGTTAAGGAATTAGGGGCCAAAAAGGGGCCAAAAATAAGCCTTTTTTCTAACTTCCAGACATAACTTGTGTGTTAGTGTATGGATCTCTCTGACATTGTACCACAAGGTTCCATATCACAAAGGGAATGCTGGGATTGATTTTGGGAGTAATTGCCTCAAAATATTAGGAATGAAGGGCCAAAAAAGGGGCAAAGAACAAGCATTTTTCTAGTTTCATGACAATAACTTGTGTGTAAGTGTATGGATCTTTCTGAAATTGTACTACAAGGTTCCATATTACAAAGGGAAAGCTGGAATTGAGTTTGGGGGTAATTGCCCAAAACGTTTAGGAATAAGGGGCCAAAAAGGGGCCAAAAATAAGCATTTTTCTAGTTTCCAGACAATAACTTGTGTTCAAGTGTATGGATCTCTCTGAAATTGTACCACGAGGTTCAATATTGCACAGGGAATGCTGTGATTGATTTTGGGGGTAATTGCCTCAAAATTTTTGGAATTAGGGGCCAAAAAAGGGGCAAAAAACAAGCATTTTTCTAGTTTCATGACAATAACTTGTGTGTAAGTGTATGGATATTTCTGAAATTGTACTACAAGGTTCCATATCACAAAGGGAAAGCTGGAATTGAATTTGGGGGTAATTGCCTGAAACGTTTAGGAATTGGGGGCCAAAAAACACATTTTTCTAGTTTCCAGACAATAACTTGTGTTCAAGTGTATGGATCTCTCTTAAATTGTACTGCAAGGTACCATACCACAAAGGGAAGGCTGGGATTGAGTTTGGGGGTGATGAATCATAAGGGGGTTCAAAAAATTGGGGGGGGGGGGATTTTTTTTTTTTTTTCCTTATTTTTTTCTTTTAAAAATTTCCATTTTAAGTTGGTTATTTCTGATTTATATTTAAAAGCAAATAATAATGATATGGTAGGAGATACACACCAAACAGGATGTGTAAATTATTATATAATAAGTATTGTGCAATAGCAAGAAATTTTCAATTGCACAGTATTGCACAATAGCAAGAAATCTTCAATTGCACAATATTGCGCAATAGCAAGAAATCTTCAATTGCACAGTATTGCGCAATAGCAAGAAATATCCAATAGCACAATATTGCGCAATAGCAAGAAATTGTCAATTGTGCAGTATTGCGCAATAGCAAGAAATATTCAATTGCACAGTGTTGTGCAAAAGAAGATACTTCGTATAAATTGCTTATCTCTTGACCAATTTCAATGGGATTTTATTCTTGAATTCTTGGGGTTCTTTAATATGCTGAATCTAACCGTGTATTAAGTTTTTGGATTTTGGGCCCCGTTTTTAAATTGGTCCACATTGAGGTCCAAAGGGTCCAAAATTAAACTTTGTTTGATTTAATCAAAAATTGAATTATTGGGGTTCTTTGATATGCCGAATCTAACCGTGTATTTAGATTCTTAATTTTTGGTTCCGTTTTCAAATTGGTCTACATTAAGGTCCAAAGGGTCCAAAATTAAACTAAGTTTGATTTTAACAAAAATTGAATTCTAAGGGTTCTTTGATATGCTGAATCTAAACATGTATTTAGATTTTTGATTATGGGCCCAGTTTTCAAGTTGGTCCAAATCGGGGTCCAAAATTAAACTTTGTTTGATTTCAACAAAAATTGAATATATGAGGTTCTTTGATATGCTAACTCTAACCATGTATTTAGATTTTTGATTTTTGGGCCCCGTTATCAACTTTGTCCACATTGAGGTCAAAAGGGTCCAAAATTAAACTTTGTTTGATTTCATCAAAAATTGAATTCTTGGGGTTCTTTGATATGCTGAATCTAACCATGTATTTATATTTTGGATATTGGACCATAATAGGTGAATGTCCAATTTAAAATTTTTAAGTTCTTAGACCACATTCATTCTGTGTCAGAAACCTATGCTGTGTCAAATATTTAATCACAATCCAAATTCAGAGCTGTATCAAGCTTGAATGTTGTGTCCATACTTGCCCCACCTGTTAAGGGTTCGACCTCTGCGGTCGTATCAAGCTGCGCCCTGCGGAGCATTTTATTTTTCAGTTCAAATATTGATAGTAGATATTGAGCATACAATGCCTCAAAGATTTCAAATAACGGTGAGTAAAAAACTGTTGTTGGGTTAAATGCCTATAAATATGATTATAAGTGTCATTTCCGTTTCATGCTGTGATAAACCTTCTATAGTGAATTTCTTCATTACATGACCAACAGGCGCGTAGCTGCCTTTACGCAAAAAATCATTTGCTTGCACATTTTTTTCACAAAAAAAAATAATTCTGAAATTAAATTACGAATGAGTAGGAAGACAGGTCAACCGGGCTAACTATCCAGCTGACACTCCAAGTCAATATTGGAAGCGAGCCTTGTATTTTTCCTTTCTTGACTATTTCATTGAAGAACTCACAGGACGTTTACTGGATAATTCTGATCGTTTTCAAGGCCAGAACCTTAATTTCAATTAAATACCTGCACGTTTGGAATCTTTGACAGCAGAGTGTATAGACAAAATATACGAAACATTTAGACACGACTTGACGGACAATCAAGAAACCTTCAACTCTGAGGTAAAGAGATGGCAGAGACGCTGGTCGGGTCCAGATGTTATAGAGTAGCCCAAATCTCTGATGTCTCTAGCAGTGACTAAAAAGAAACTATATCCTTCAATAGTTTGCAATCGTGTCAATCTTAGTTACAATGCCAGTAACTACATCAACTACTGAACGGTCATTTAGTGCATTACGGCGACTGAAAACTTATCCCCGTTCAACCATGGTATAGGACAGACTATCTTCGTTGGCGCTCATACATGTTCACAGAGAAATGAATATCGACACCGAGAGAGTTCTGCGATCTTTTGCCTTGGCAAAAAATAGATATATGGACTTTGGATATTAACTTTACTTTAAGTCTTACATGAGTATTAACATTTAATAATACAGGCTCAATACAATAACCTTGAAAACATCTAAGATTTATATCCCTCACTTATAAGTCAAGACTTAAAAGTCGCCGTTTGATTTCGTATTCCCATTGTCCGTTCGTCCAAAAGACTATTAATTCACCTTGGGTATCTGTGTCCCAAGTGACCTTCTACCGTTGTCGTAGAAACCTCAGGCTCCTTTGATTCGAAAATGACCAAAGTGAGAAACGCTACGGTCGGTGTCTTGCAAGAAGCAGGACCTGCTTACCCTTCCGGAGTACTGGAGGTCGCCACATTTTTTTTCGGGGTTCGTGTTTTTTTTATCTGTATTTAGTTTTCAATATTGAATGTTTTTGTTTGTCCTTTTGTGTCTTATCTGTTCCCGGGTTGGTCATGTGTCCATTGATTGCCCTTCTATTGATAAACGCTTCGGTTGACTTGTCGACTGATCTTCCCGTTTTATAAAATTTATTTTATATTTGAAGACAACCATGTTAATAAGGAGTAATGTGAATTTCATAAGCATGGCATACCTGGAAAATGACCGAAAAATGATCATTTCCTGCATAAAAAGGTCCCAAAATATTTTTCGCCTCGCTCCCCTCGGCGATACAAGACTTATGATTGCACTTTATTTTAGGCCAGCTACGCCCCTGACCAAGGAGGCATTTCACATTCATGCGAGTGAAAATAGAAACGACAGAAAACAATTTCAAGTGACAGGGATTCGCCCATCTAAATATATGTATACAATGTACATATAAACACAGATCTACGATTGCTGACCTTTCAAAGGAAACCATAGGTGTTACAAATGAAGGGTGCAATAAATCTTTTTGAGCTAACCTGTTTGATAAATCAGGTGCATACAGACGATTATTCTCACACTGGTTCGTAAGTAGCCGTATGTGCTGAATTTTTTTAATTAAAAGAACAAAAATGGCTTGCCATCAACATAATAATTAGTAATACTAGAATCACTGTTGCAAAAATATGTGCAATCCACTTTTCATACATCATGTGTCCTGACTGTAAAAATATCGTGTCTCATAGCCTTGAAACAAAGGAACTCAAATGGAAATATAAATGACCAAATATGTCACCTTATGTGGTCTTTATTATCTTTCATATCAATTACTCAAAACAAAAGCAGCAGTCATTTTCATCTAACTATAAAACTAGGTTTAACCAACAATTTTCTTTGGAAAAGGCCAGTACCAAGTCAAGAATATGACAGTTGTTTTCCATTCGTTCTGTTGGTTGGTATAGTCTAACGTTTGTTTTTGTCATGTTTTATCAGAGATTGTATTATATGTCTCTGGTTTTATGGACTTCCCCTTTTGGATTTACCTTGGAATTCAGTATTTTTGTTAATACTTTTTTCAACTGGAAATAGTATACTAACAATTATGTCCCATTTCAACAAATACTGACAAAAAAAAACCCTTATGAAACTGATAAGCAGTTCTTGGTTACAATGAAAGAGGTTTCCACATACAGATTATTATCATTTTATAATTTACGACTTCGTATGTAAAATGTGTTGGACGAAGCTTAGACTTCGATAACGCATGTATCATAGTAGTCTCAGGACGAATTGAGATAATATAATTAATAGGGTTATCTCTGTCTTATTCTTTTCCCCTTACAGATTTACCCAATAAGATAAAATATTATCATATAGGTGCAAAGTGCAGGTTTGTTTATGCTTTATGTATCCATAAGTTTATATAATTATCAGTGTAAAATTTAAAAAAACCTCCAATTAAGGAAGTCTATTGAACTATCGGTGAGTATTTCATAACCATATTCGTTTTTCCTTCGGTGTTCATTGATTACATTTTTATTTAATTTTTTGGGTTGCTCTGTGTGACATATCGACACTAAGGTCTCAAGTTGTTCATGTATAAACTCGTGTGTAGCTATTGTACTTTACTTTGGTCTGCATAACACGTAGACCAAAGCTTCGTCTTTGACTTAAGACAATTTCGCAATGCCTTTGTTTCTGTTTTGAATACTGATGTTCATATTTTTCAATTCTCCTTTTATTAATGTAAACTATAATTGATATGGTTTAAGTCTATATGTATTTTTCAAGTTGGTTTCATACTTAGTCTAATCAAAATACGAATCATCCTACTTTCACTTTCAGTTCACACGTCACAGAGGTGAAATGGAAACCCATTTCAAAATATGTGCATCTTGTCTTCAGGATGGTGAGAAAATTCCATCATCAGAATGGTGTTGGGACTGTATGGAAGGTCTGTGTACAGAATGTGCGAAATACCATAGAAGACAAAAACCTTCCAGACAACACAAACTTGTCCTCATAAACACCATTCCCAATTTTGATGTGCTACTGAGTTATATCCAAACTAGTTGTCCTTTACACAACAACGAACAACTGTTGTCATTCTGTTCAACACATCGCGATCTTTGTTGTCAGTTGTGTGTAAACACGTCTCATCGGGACTGTCAACAAGTCATAACACTGACCGAGGCCGCCAATACCACAACCAATGCTAATGTTGCAGAGAAAATCAGGTCTTTGGAGGAGTTGTTGGAAATCAAGACAGAAACCATACGAAAAAGCCTAGTAAGTCAAGGCGAAGAAGTTGTACAGAAGGTTCAACAAATGCGAAAAGAAATTGACAAATATTTTGATTATTTAGAAGAAGAGGTGAAGAAAAATTTGATAGTTCAGCATGAATCATATTTAAAGTTGGTTCACCAAGAAAATAATATTGTTGACGAATGTTGTCTCGAAATTAAAATTATGAAAGAACTTGTGTGTGTACTATCTGATGACATACCGAGTGAAATATCGTTTCAGCTTCGAATAGAAATGATGAAACAACTACAAAATCATAATACCAAATTTTTGGAATCAACCAAACAGGCCTACCAATTCGTGTTTAAACCAGTCGATGTTATGTCTATATTAGAAACAAATGTGAAGTCTTTAGGAGAAATATGCATCACCAAGATAAGTGATGTATGTCAAGTTTCAGGTAATCATGTTATATATCAAAGGACAAATGAACAAATCGGTAATAGACACAGCCTTCAATCTGATTCGAACGACAATGCTGAATGTAAAAGAAAATGTGAAATGAGTTCAAAAGAGATGTCAATCAAATGTCCATCAGGTCCACTAGAAAACCAAAGCAAACAACCAGAAGTTCCAAAGGCCACCATAGGCATACACATTGATTTAAATGAAGACATCAGTGAACCATTAAAGGAACCTTCGGTGTTAGGAGACCATAAACTTCAGACCGGCAGGAAGAATAGCGAAAGTCTATCAAATGTCCAACGAAAACCAGAAACAGCTTCACTGTCTCACAAACTCCAACTATCTGTACTTGGTTCTAATGTAACATCTACAGAATGTTGTTATTTACCAGATGGAAAACTTGTATTAGTCGATACAACCGGTAAATTCGTTATATCATGCAACGATAAGGGCCGACAGTTCAAAAAGGTTTCGTTAACACAAGAGCCACTTGACATTTCGGTTTACGACAAAACGAGACTCATAGTGGCTCTGGGAAATCATGGAATACAAGTGTTAAACATTATATCACTACGTCCACTTGGGAAAGTTATCAACCTTGGAGGGAAATGCACTGCTGTTACCCATGACAATGAAAAGGTTGTTGTTGCAGTCGATGATAAACTGAAATTAATCACAATAGACGGCAAACTTATCCGTCATATAGATCACCCTGGTTTGGTTTGGTCCCTTTCTGGTGTCTTTAATGGCAAAATATACTACTCCGACTTTTCTGATGATGACGATGTCCTTCATTGTATCACACTGGACGGTAAAAATATATTTTCTTACAAACACCCACAACTTATTGGCCCAACAGGGGTTGCAGTGGATACGCACGGAAACGTGTACGTAGCAGGACTAAGTTCACATAATGTGCACCAACTTAGTGGAAACGGAAAACTATTATCGATTATTCTAACAAAGAGCGACGGTATAAAATACCCAAGAGGAATGGCTTATAACCTCGAAAAGAGGGAGCTTCTATTGATAAATCAAGACATGAAAACAATTCAGTTTTATGCTATTCACTAATGTTGGTGTACGTACATGAAATAAAAACAATAAATATAAAACTCATTAAAATTCATTGCGTTAATTAAACAGTTATTTTTTTATACACTCCGTGTATACATGCATTCGTTTCCCACCATAAAAAAACTGAGTTATTTTCACAGACGAATAATTTTATGTGCTCTGTTATTTTCTTAAAAATGCATATGAAGGAAAAGAAACTACCACCAAAAACGATTGGTTGGTTCTTGCTTGCATAGTGTCCGATGGCAAAGCATGTATTTCATGCAAACTCGGGAGAAGAACAAATTAAAAATTAATAACAAGGTAGGCTCGGCAAGGAAAATTAACAGGACTGCCGCTGGGAAATTTAGTGTTTGACGGATAGTGGTTGAAATTTGTCTCGCAACAGACTTTACGTTATACCTACGAATGAACTTTATATGAATTGGCAGTATCTTAGCTTATATTAAAAGTAAAGGTAATTATTCGCATGTAATTGTTGCGTTTAGCAAGTTTAATTATCCTCGATAATGTTTTTGCAAATAACAGCATATTTTAAAATCTCTACTAACGTCTTATTGCGGTCAACAGTAATAATCTTATTGTAATTGTAATAAACAGGCAACAGGTTCCAAGATAAACTGTGCATTTTAAATTTCTAAATCTCTAAAAAAATATTTTACATTGACGAGATTAGATTACAGAATTCTTGCAACAGAGAATAACTAGATCTGTTCATGACGGCAAACACGAAGAACATTTAAAAGACAAAAGCAACTGTTCGCACTTTTTACCATGCTTTCCAAATTATATGAAGTCAGTAGTAAGGGAATCGTGATATTAAAACAGTGGTTCCAATGGCCCCAGATGGTTCTATGCTAAAAAAAGGTGGCTCTACGTTCAGATGCTTCCTTTACTATGAATAACAGTGGTTCCATAATCATACCGATACATGGCGAAGGATATGCATCTTTACGATTCAATTGATTTATTTTTCCATAATCGATACAAAATCGTCAAATGAAGCAGGAGGCATTTTTGAATGAAGGTGGCATCAGTTGGCATCAGACTATGCAACAATCTGTTGGAAAAGTAGTTCATTGTTAATGAATTGTCCGTGTAACAATTAATTTCATAAGTTAAATCATGCTAATGCATATGTCTATGGATAACGCCTTAAAAACTAAACAGTTATGTCTTTGAGGTATTATTACAAGTACACACATATTAAAGAAATAATAATTCGTGGTGTAAGCGGTACGTTATATCAACGTTTGTTGGTTGTAATTTTCCAGCACTAAAAAAATAATAATAGTAATTCTAAAAAAAAATCGTTCGTGAAGATTGACTTGGATTTGGATTGAAATCTGTCTGAAACTCGACAGTTGCATATAGTTTTTACAAAGATTATAATGATATGTACAAAGATAGAAGTAGTATATACGACAGTGAGACAGCAAGCCAACGACAAAAACCAAACACATTTTAAACCGTTTCATATCCATGCCGTACCACTGTTATTATTTGATATTTTGTTTACATTTTTATCGTGCCTGCGACTTTTGTCGCAGAAAGCTCGACATAGGGATAGTGATCCGGCGGCGGCGGCGGCTACGGCGGCCTTAACTAACAACTTAAAAGCTTAATATTTCAGAAGGTAGAAGACTTGGATGCTTTATACTTTGTATATAGATGCCTTATGTTATGAAGTTTCCGTCTGTCATATGTCCTTTGTCCTTGACCTCATTTTCATGGTTCAGTGACTACTTGAAAAAAAAGTTAAGATTTTTTGTTATGTTAAGTTCTCTCTTATTGTGAGTAATATGATAACTATATTTGGTATGTGCATAAGTTGCACAGTCTTCATGCCTGTCAAACAGTTTTCATTTGACCTCGACCTCATTTCATGGATCAGTGAACAAGGTTAAATTTTCGTGGTCAAGTCCATATCTCGGATTCTATAAGCAATAGGTCTACTATAATTAGTGTATGGAATGATTGTAAGGTGTACATGTCCAACTGGCAGGTGTCATCTCACCTTGACCTCATTTTCATGGTTCAGTGGTTAAAGTTAAGTTTTTGTGTTTTGGTCTATTTTTCTGATACTGTATGCAATAGGTCAGCTATATTTGGTATATGGAAATATTTTATGATGTACATGTCAGTCTGACAGGTGTTATTTGACCTTGATCTCATTTTCACGGTTCATTGCTCATGATTTTGGGTTTTGGTCTGTTTTTCTTAAACTATAAGCAATAGGTCAACTATGTTTGGTGTATACAATGATTGTTATGTTTATATGTCTGTCTGGCAGGTATCATCTGACCTTGACCTCATGTTCATGGTTATTTGGTCAATGATAAGTTTTCGAGGGTAAGTTTGTTTCTTAGATACTATATTTGATACATCAACTATATTTGATCCATGGAATGATTGTAAAGTGTACATGTCTGTCTGACAGGTTTCATCTGACCTTGACCTCATATTCATGGTTCATTGGTCTATATAAAGTTTTCATCGTTTGGGGAGTTTCTTGTATACTATAACCAATAGGTCCATACATTTTTTTAGGTCAACTATATTCAATGTATGGAATGATTGTAAGGTGTACATGTATTTCTAGCTTGGTTTATCTGACCTTGACCTCATTTTTATTGGATCATGATAAGTTAATGTGATACTTGAAGTAAAACTTTATAGTAGTAAAGCAGGCGAGACATTTCAGCATGTGCACTCTTGTTTATAATTTAAAATCTTGTTAATTAATACAATTAGAAATAGGTTCCATTATTATTATAAACAGATTTTAAATCTGTATGATAAAACACGTGTGTGTAATGAAGGGGATATTGGGTATAGTTCAGTGAAACATCAATCCAACGTAATAAATAACCAAAAAACAATTCAAAATCTATCAAAAAGACTGGATTCCTCAGAAAAAACCAAAAAAAATAAAAAAAAACAATCAGATATAACAAAGAACAACCACTAGAACAACCACTAACGCGGACGGTTACCCGAGACCGGCACATTGAGAAGGCCGGACTTAATTAGTTTTTTCGTTCCCAATCTCCTCCTTTTTCTCGATCAAAATTACTACTTTCAAAATAAATCTTCATATCTGTGACAAAATTCATGTAATTTTTCACCAGAGGAACACATATGTCTCTGGTTTTACCAATGAAGATGAGACGTTACTGCAAAACTGCGCATATCGAACTAACTGAAAAATTTGCGCTCCAAACTAATGAGCGAACGTCAAGTCACTATATAAGGAAAGGAAATTTTTTTTGGAAAGGAAAAGTTCGTCACAAATTTTGACGTGAAGATAATCATGAAAAATTCGAATAACAAGGTCTATAAAAAAGCAAAATCTATTACCAGCAACGGTGGATTAAGTAAGAGTGAGATTTCCTTGATATAGTATCAAAATTAGTGAATATCCGAATAAGGGAGTAGACTTCTAGGTTAAAGTGTAAAACTTTCCGGAACTTGTGTGCTATGTACATATAGACTTCATTAAAATTACTATAAAAAAAAAGTCTATTGATTAACATATATACATTATGTACAGTGACTTTGGTGGTTTAACAACAAGTTGGTGTGGATCCTTCAAATGTTAGAGTGGATATACCACTTTTGAATGATTCCAGGGTTCCAGACATACCTATTGCTTCAGGTAGTGAATTACAGTTAGAGGTGGTGTTCGGATAGAAAGAGTATTTATAGAAGTCTTTATTAGCCGAAAATTATGTGTTCTGTCTTTATAATCATTATAGACGTATCTGGCTGCCTTACGCTGAATCTGCTCAACCTGAGTAATGTGATGCCTTTTGTAGGGGAAGAATATTCGACGACTGGACGCACAAGTGATGTGTACGTAAGGTTTTTGTCGAGCCTGTGAATTTTGTCGCAGAAAGCTCGACATAGGGATAGTGATCCGGCGGCGGCGGCGGTGGCGTTAACTAACTTCTTAAAAGCTTGATATTTCAGAAGGTTAAAGACCTGGATGCTTCATACTTTGTATATAGATGCCTTATGATATGAAGTTTCAGTCTATTATATGTCCATTGTCCTTGACCTCATTTTCATGGTTCAGTGACTACTTGAAAGAGAGTTAAAGATTTTTTGTATGTCAATTTCTTTCTTAATATGAGTAATAGGATAACTATATTTGGTATGTGCGTACCTTGCAAGGTCCTCATGCCTGTCAGACAGTTTTCACTTGACCTCGACCTGATTTCATGGATCAGTGAACAAGGTTAAGATTTCATGGTCAAGTCCATATCTCAGATACTATAAGCAATAGGTCTACTATATTTGGTGTATGTAATGATTGTAAGGTATACATGTCATACTGACAGGTGTCATCTGACCTTGGCCTCATTTTTGTGTTTTGGTCTGTTTTTCTTATACTGTATGCAATAGGGCAACTATATTTGGTGTATGGAAATATTTTACGATGTACATGTCAGTCTGGCAGGTTTTATTTGACCTTGAACTCATTTTCACGGTTCATTGCTCAATGTTAAGTTTTTGTGTTTTGGTCTGTTTTCCTAATACTGTATGGAGTAGGACAGTTATATTTGGTGTATGGAAATATTTTACGATGAACATGTCAGTCTGGCAGGTTTTATTTGACCTTGACCTCATTTTCATGGTTCATTGGTCAATGTTTAGTTGTCCTGGTTAACTTTGTTTCTTAGATACTATAAGCAATAAGTCAACTATAGTTGATGCATGGAACGATTTTAAGGTGTACATGTCTGTCCGGCAAGGTTCATCTGACCTAGAATTCATTTTCATGGTTCTTTGGTCAATATAGAATTTCCATGGTTTGGTCTGTTTCTTTTATACTATAAGCAATATGTCATCTATATCCTGTGTATAGAATGATTGTATTAAATGTGTACATTTATTTCCGGCTTGGTTTATCTGACCTTGACCTCATTTTCTTGGATCATAGATGTTAATGTGATACTTGTAGTAAAACTTTATATGTAGGACTATCAACATAAAATCAATGGTCAGTATAGTAGGCGAGACATTTCAGCGTGTGCACTCTTGTTAATCTTACGTGTGCAGTTTCTAAAGTTTCTTCGAAGAAAGCATAAATTAAGGTTTTGTTTGCCTTCCAGGTAATATTATCTATTTGTGT